GGGTGATTTCTCACTTTCTGTCTCTATGTCTCTCTCTCTGTCTGGCGAGCGCGACCCCGTGCCATTCAGTGAAAATCTCCAGAAAAAAAAAAAAAAAAAAAAGCTTAGCAGATGTACAGGCCACCTAGAGAGAGAGGTGAGAGGAAGGGAGCGAACAAGAACTCAGGAAGGTAAGCTGAAGTTAAATGGTTGCAGCCTAGGGTGACTGAGTTTCTCTTTTTCCTTTCTCCCTCTTTCTGTTTTCTTTCAAAATGTGCTAGAAAGCAGGTATGCTCACCCAAGAGAAAGGAGGGGTGAGAAAGCAACCCCCACAGGGGATGGCCACACTGCAATCCCTCCTCTCTCATTTCTCCTTTCAGGATTTCGGACACGCATGCACATGCGCCCAGTGTGTTTTACAATCCGCAGGGTCTGGGACTCAGACCACACAGCTGGACATGTGGGATCCAGCCACCTTAACCACTAGGCCACTAGCTTCCCTAAACTCTGTTTCTAAAATCACCATGTTTTGTTGTTTGAGAAGTAAAGCTCTGATCACACTATTGATGCGTTTTTAAAAAACAGGCTCTTTGGCCCTTCACTGACAATTGCAACTACAATTTAATGAGTGCTTACTTTGTGCTGAGTATTATAAGTAGGCAGGTACATACAGTATCTATTTAATCCGAACAACAATCATACGAGCTAGTCTCACTTCCATATTACAGATGACGAAATAACAACTTAAACAAGTAAAATACACAAGTCACAAATACAAAAGACCAAGAGGCAAAGCCAACCCCTTGCAATTCTAGACTGCATTCATCAATCTGTCTTCTTTCCCATTGCCCAGACTCCTCCCATCTCATTTCCGTGAGAGGAAATCCACCTCACATAACTAGCATGTATAACAATCAGATATAACAAACATATGTCCAAACATAGTTGAAGAAATTCCTTATTCGTTCCTGTCTCTCCACCAGCCCCGAGGATCAGGAACCTGTCTTTTCTGTACCATGCAAGCAGTGGCCACTCGGTAATGACAAGTAGTAGACACTGTCTTTGAAGGTTGGGCTAACACAATACTTGCTGTAATACTTGCACAGAAATTAAACCAAGCTCAGCAAGGTTCCCAGGGTCTAAAAGGGAGACACAGCAAAGTGGACAGAGGCAGGTTGAGGACCCTATGCATGGGGGGAAGTGTGCAGGTTTTGACCCTCCAGTCAGTGCTCCAAAAGCCTCAAGAAAAAGCTTGATACGACATTCCTTGGAAAATACAAAAAGCCATGTCCCACTAAGATGAAGATTTGAGTTAAAGGAAACACTTCTAACAAAGCACTCCTGTGTTAGCAGAGAGTTCTAGGAAGTGAGGTCTCAGATCCCTCACACCCAGGACTTACGCTAAGCCACTTTGTCTTAGTCTTAGGAAAAGGAGGGATTAGCACAGCAGTTTCCAAACTGTTTTTTTAGCAGCAAAACTTTCCTTTTATATGAATGCTTTAAAAGATGCTTAGTTTGTAAAGCAGGTAAAAGCAGAGCTATTGGGGCTAGCTCTAGAGTTCCCCCTTTTCTTCTCACCATTTTTCACCTCCCTGGGCGCCCAATCCAAAGGCCATTACTAGAGGTCCCCAGGCTCAAGGAGCACAACCTGGAAGCCCACCAGGCTTCTGGACTCTCCATGGCACCTTGCAGCTCTGGCTGCAGTAATTGTCAAGGTCTGAGATATACTTCAACAAGCTAGTCAGCCCGTTTACCTCTTACTTTTAAGAGAGGACTTAAATTAGACTGTATTTAGGACTTCTGTTCTCTCAAGCAAGTTATTCTGTCTCCCTAAACCTCAGTTTTCTCATCTATAAAATGGAAAATAGTATTGTTTATCTACATAACAAGGCTTTTCTGAGAATTAACTAATCTAGTTAGCAGAAGGTTGCAATTTAATTCTCCATATGCTCATCCTGTCCATGAATGTATCTAAGTCCACAGGTGGAAGAGTGGGTAATGTGATATGTAGAGCAGGGCAAAGAGGATGTCCAATAAGCAACTGGGGCCCATTTCTTTCCTTCCTTCTCTTCTGGACATGTCGAACCTGAGCAAACAATACGAGAGCAGCACAGGGTAACCAGGAGAAGCACATTTGTGTCCCCAATTTTCTACAGCTTGCCTCTGAAAGTTTTTTAGTTTTTGTTTTGTTTTGTTTTAGAGAGGGTTTTGCTACAGGGCACGTGTGCTCGCCAGAAAGACAGAGAGAGACAGAGAGACAGAAAGCGAGAAATCACCCCCCCCCCGGGGAGGGATGGCCACGTTGCAATCCCTTCTCCTCCATTCTCCTCTCAGGATCTTGGGCACGCAAGCACACGCGCCCGGCATGAGTTTAAGCCACCGGGTCTGGAACTCAAACTGCGTTCAACTACATAGGGGTCCAGCAACATAGCCATTACGCTAACTGCTGGTCCCTGAAAGTTTTATAGTTTGAAATGCATAGCCATCTAGGCTTCCAAGAATAACATCCAAGGGAATGGAGGAAGAGAAAGCTGAGTTTCAGAAACCACTGCTTCAGGGCATCAGCAAAGGTGGATTGAGGTCACCCGCAAAGGTAGAAGTGTGGGGAGTGAGTACAGAACAAAGAGGTTCACAGACATAAGAGCTCGTAAGAACTCCAGTGCCCTACCAGTACAAAATGTCATCGCTTACTATCACCGCAAGCAAAAAGATGAGCCACTGTAAAACAATAAGCTGGGAATTACCCATCTTGAGTACCCTGCTCCAGCTGGAAGATTCCGCATTGCTCCCGAGTTCTGACCACAGTTTCCTGAAAGTGCTGCCAGTTAACAGCATCTCATCATGCCTTTCTCAGCTGAACCCTCACCAGTGCTCAGAGCTGCACAAAAAATAACAGCCTGCCCAGTCTCAGTCCAGCACTCTGGGCCTCCAGGACAGATCCCCAACCCACCTTTCTAGCCACATCTCCCATTAAACTAGATACTGCACGAACTCCTGGTCTAAGGCAAAGCATGCTAATTCCACATGACTGCAAGACTGGGTCATGGTTGGCTCCCAGTGCTGTACCCCCAGATCTCAAACCATGCAGCAGGGAAGTGAGCTCCTTGGGAGTGTTCTACTTCTGGGGAGGAGTGGTCCATAGTGTCTTCACTGACCCAGCCTTTCTCTAAGGAGGGGAATAACAAGTTTCAGTCTGTCAACATCCACAACATGGTAAAAAAATAAAATAAAATAAAAATAAATAAAATTCTGTATTTCTTTGTAGTTAATAAAGTTTTTCACTTTTTTTTTTTTTTAACTTGCCAGAGGGTACATGTACTTGCTGGAGAAAGACAGAGAGAGAGAAACAGGGAAAATGAGAAAGCACCCTCATGAGGGACAATCACGTAGCAATCCTTTCTCCTCCACTTTCCTTTTGGGATTTTGCAAAGACATGCATGTGTGCCCAGCATGTTTCTCATGATGCAGGTGTGGGACTCGGGTGATGCAGTCTGCCATGTGGGATCCATCTGCCTTAACCACCATGCCACTGGCTGGCCCCACTTACCTCACCTTTCTAAATGCTCTATATCAAATACAACCACAATCCCCATGTTACAAGTGCTACGGTAAGAGGCTGAGCTAGTGGCCATATAAAGTCCTCTGGCTGCCCAACCTCTGCACACTGTATTCCCTCCCCAGTAGCAGGTGCAATTAAGCCTCGCTCTGAAAGGTGCAGCCAGATCACCACATGGCTGTGGGCAAATCCCTCTCCTGCTCTCAACCACAGCATCTTCATCCATAAAATGAGGGTTTGTCAATGTCCCTACACATTGACATACTCTCTTCTCTACCCTGGAAAGAGTTCATAAGTGAAACTTTAGGGAGGAACTCACCAGGGAATGTCTCACACTCATATGCTTGGCCAATTCATCCCTGAGCTCCCATCCTCCAAAGCCCATTAGGGAGAAAGAAGAGGGCTGACCCAAATATTGAAAAGCCACCATGACCCCACAGGACAGTACAGGGAGTGCCAAATGGCAGCCATCACCAGGTAGACAAGCAAGCTGCCTCTCACGAACTGCAGGCATGGTGATGGCAAAAGACCTCATCAGCAAATTGCTGGTTTGACTGGCAATCAATGAGTGCACGATGCAAGGCATACACAGTACATTCCC